CCCGAATTGACTCAGCGCATATCTCCCATTGTCGACTCACTTGGCCCAAGCTTCAAACGGGAATTTACTGACCACTTCTTCCCATCAATCTTTCCTGAACCACTACAGCGACTATGAGAGCCATACCATATGTTCATACATTGTATCATACATACTTGTCATTTTTGAAATAAATAATATTATCCCTATCTTTCGCAAACCGACAAAGCGATATGTTGATGCAGCGGTTCAGTGTTCTTTAACATTCCAGACGCAAAAATTACAGTCATGATTCAGTACATACCCACTCCTCGGTATTAATAGAAGGAAACTGGTGGAGATACCATACTCGAGAAAGAGAGTAGGGATTTATTTCAGAGATCGTCATATCGTTTTACGCCCTTGTGCAAGCATGGCTGACTTCTTAATCACCCAGGCATCGGATGGAAATAATTTCAGTTGGCGCATGCCATTTTTGGGGCTGATATAGACAGATTATTGAGCAAATATATTCAAAGAATATACATGTTTATTTCGTCATTGTTTTAGCACGAAAGATTTACAAGATGGGCCTACCTGGGAGGTACAAAGTTCATCGTCACCTCTACACACATTTGCATGTGAGGGTTCACTCGCCCTCAGTCGACCTGCATTATAATTACCCGCACCAATTTAGCACAATGTACGCATTTACAACACCAATTGGACACTCGTGATATTATTTCTTGACATCATAATTTTTATTCTCGTCGTGTACGCATAAAGCACATGCTTCACAGGCTTCAGAATTCATTGATCTTGGTACATGGGCTGTGACATATATATTTGTATTATCTGCGAGGTGCGCTGATGTTCTGATTTTCATCCATTTTGAAAAATTGTTGCTACCTCCTGTAGATCCGCGAATACTCAATCCATCGGTCCGGAGTCGGTATGTACGGCAATTCGCGCGGCAGGGCGCTCTTGGCCTTTTCTATATGTCGCTGCACCAAAATGAGCCTCCATAGCATCGGTAGATATTGCGGGATTTACACCATTGCGTACTAGACAAATACACAAAGTATGCTTGAATATAGGAGGTAGACAATTGAATCCATATGTATCCAGTCCTATACGTTCGTGAGTTGTAGGATTATACTCGCTCGACGCATAGTGTAAAATAGCTTTACTATCGGGGTTTAAGCCTAAAAAATGTATACTTCATAGGCAGGTCAGTTTCACCCGACAAAGAGAAAAATCCCTTCTATGAATGTCAAATATCCATGCAGCGGTTTAACTATATAAAGCCTGTCTGATTGATTGTATACATTCTCCGTACGCCATGTCACCTAATTTGAGCTTAAGAGCATGCATAATCCAGTCCGAGCCGCTGGCGTTTGGGTTTCTATTCAAAGCGTCCATATATTTCTGATTTATTTTACCACCCAGTCCGAATAGGACTTTGTCCTTATGATGTAAGTGTCGTATATAATCACATCCTTGTAAGAGTGCGTGTGACAAAATTATGTTATTTGATAGTCCCACCCGCCGTGAATATCCCTGACGATCGTTGTCTACGTATATACATACATTGAATTTACTGTAAGATTGAAGCATGTATTCACTTCACTATATGCCAATGTATATAAGTCTACTGTAGCTTTGAAATAACGATCTTCTGATTTTCTACACAAATATACTACTTCTGCGTCGGCCTCATGAGGCGCTACCATCCTCGGGTATCTTTGAGTCACACAAAAACCAATCGCTACACGTACCTGTTTCCACGTTCGTGTACACGCATTTTTCAACGCAGCAAATTCCTTTGTCGATTTTCCTTAACCCTTTGCATTTTCCTTTTGCCACACGAGATATGCGTCTTTAACTTTGCGTCTCCTCAATGCCGCCTCTTTCTTCTTCGCAGGAGGAATATCTTCATGTTTAAATACGTAAAAAGGTTCGCACCCTAACTGTGTTGTTATTGTGTTGTGGTACTGCTTTAGGGTTTAGGGTTCAAATATAATTTCTTTTTGAGTGCCGACGTACAGCCACCGTTAATATACTTGAGTATCCCATTAGCGAGGGCCTCGGCATTAGAATATCTAAAGAGTCTGCATCTACTGATCGCAGAGTAGATCAAGCACGATGCATCTGTGAAACACTTATGGTTTTAAAGTACATCTGATAGAGTATGAATGTATGTGGGTTGGTTTTTTTTGTCATATATGGTTCTGACTTCGCCGTCAACTATACCCATTGGACACTATTTTACGAGTGAGTGAGTGCATGTGTGGCGTAAGTTCTGGTGTATCAACGTAAAAAAGCGTTTCCAAACCGTTTCTGGTAATTTTAGAAAATACCGCTTGGAAACAAGTTTGTTTTAGAGTTTAGCAACGAGTTTAAAATAAATTAATAAATAAAAATATTTCAAGTGCAGGATTTGAACCTACGCGCTCAGAGAGCATGAGATTTCAAGTCTCACTCCTTAACCACTCGGACAACTTGATCATGGAAAGTGTTTGGAATTAACAATATTATAAAACAATATATTGATATTACATAACAGAAATGTATGGAATCTTGATATCTACCATTCACAGGCTAAAATAGTAAATACTAACGTCGTCTTCATTCTACTAAATAAATACGAGTTGCCTTAGTAGTTCGATCTTCAATTTGACAGCCTCAAAAAGTAAATACACATTCTACTAAATAAATAGCAATTATATGTGATTCTTTTTGTGGGTCGCACCCAAGGTTTTTAGGGTTTCCCTTGTCATACTTTTATACTTTTAAAAATTCGAGAGCGTTTCTGCTCGTACATCGTTCTCAAGAGTGGTTATCTCACTTCCTTATTACCTGGGAGAATCAAGTTGTTTACCGCAAGTCAATGGGCGGCACCACACAGGTATGTATTTGTTTCGTTCCTTTTAATCTTCATCGACAAACTACGTGGTGATGATGTTTGTTTTCACGTACTGGATGCTCTACTAAATCATGTCTACTAGTAAGCAAGCTGAGAATCTGATAGGGAGGTCCGGTATTAACTTTAAAAGGAGTAAAACTGTCCTTGTCAAAGTCGGGGGATGGAATGGACATCCACAATGCCTAACTACGCAACAACCGTGACTGCTGATGTTGCTATTATATTTCCTCATCATAGTACACCACATCATATGGAAAGTGGAGCATTGCAGCCTTCCACTCCGATGTACTTCCTAATATTTGCATTCGGTTTGATTGCGATCATCTGCTACGATTGCAATGCTTGAGCCGAGTCCGGGCCCGCCTGCAGAGGTCGAACTGTAGTCGATATGAGAAGCATAAACTATTATATGAAGAAGAATTAAATAGTATAAGCAGTAGCCTTAAATATCATATGAAGAAGCATTAAATAATATTAAAATATCATATGAAGAAGAATTGAATAATATATGAAGAAGCATTAAAAATTATATGAGAAGCATTAAACATTATATGAAGAAGAATTGAATATTACATGAAGAAGTATTGAATACTATATGAAGAAGCAATAAATATCATATGAAGAAGCAGTAGTTATAGATACGCACAACACCAACGGTAGAAAAACGCGAATAAATGGAATAGAAATACGGGTTCCTGGGACAGACAAATGCGTCACACGAAGACACAGATCACCTATATTTTGATATCCAAGTCATAGATCATATACAGAAACAGAATATATTCAAAGCCCCATTTCACCTACACATGAATATAAAACATTCGAAGTCACAGACCACCTACAGATACAGAATGGATCGATCTCAATGCTTCCCCAATAGTAGGACGCACTAGACAGTGTGCTGGAAGTGTTCACTATACACCTGCGCATGCCTGACTCACCATGCTTGGGGTACAGTGAGGCCTTGAGCTCTGGTGGGACTGAACTGCTGTGCAGACTATGACCCGCATAAGCCTTCGCCAGAGCCAAGATCTTATCACAATCCATCACGTTGGCCAATTGTGATATGAACTCAAGAACGTCGTTACCTACGGGCAGCGGAATAAACAAAGGCGCACAGATAATTAAGTGGAGAAGAGTGCGTGTGCCACTGCAACCTCCTGTTTGAATATACTTCGCTGATCCGTCTCGACGCAATTTCAGTTGAATAAACCGGTGAGGTGGAAGTCCACACCAGTCCCAACACACCACAACCCACCCACAGATATCCCACGACCAGAGACATTCCATGGACTAAATAGCACAGACCACCCACAGACATCCCACGACCAGACATTTCATGGACTACATAGCACAGACCACCCACAGACATCCCACGACCAGACCTTTCATGGACTACATAGCACAGAAGGTCTAGACAGCACGACTAGTGAATATAAATGGCCAAGTGGTGGGTGCATGGCTTGAACACGTGTGCACAAATGCGTGGTAATAGATTCGCATCACACACGGGAGTACATAAATTAAAGCCGGAAACAATGAAAGCATAAAGACCGTACATGCGCATATACACAGACACACACTCTTTAATATGCACTAGCTAGACAAAGCAGACCTCGTCTAAAGCACTCAGCTAAGTAATCCTAAGTTTATTTATAGCAAGAACATGGCAGATATATACACAGTCCGACACACTCACTAACAATATATGCACTAGCAAGACAAAGCAGACCTCGTCTAAAGCAATCAGCTAAGTAATCCTAAGTTTATTTATAGCAAGAACATGGCAGATATATACACAGACACACACACACTCACTAACAAATATGCATTAGCAAGACAAAGCAGACCTCGTCTAAAGCACTCAGCTAAGTAATTATAAGTTT